GAGGAGACGTTGTGTGACCGGATGCTGACTGTGTCCGGTCAAGCATGATCGGACGTGTCCGGTCGGAAAAAATTGCGTTTGTAACCTTACTGGAAACGACCGGACGCTGAAGTCCAGCGTCCGGTCACTTTCCAACTGACACGTCCGGTCAGCAGACGGCCGTTGAAATCTGATGAATAGTATTTGAAGCAGGGGACACGTGGCGTGAATCACGTGACCGGACGCTGACCCTCAGCGTCCGGTCGATCGGACCGGAGCGTCCGGTCACCCCGCATTGTACCCAGTGAAGAGGTACAATGACTCTATTTCGTGGGGGCTTCTATTTAAGCCCCATGGCCGGCTCAAGCTCACCCTCTTGGTCATTTGCATTGACATAGCAACCTTTTGAGCCTAGCCAAAGCCCTCCCACTCATCTCGATCATTGATTCATCATCTTTGTGAGATTGGGAGTGATCCAAGTGCATTGCTTGAGTGTTTGCATCTAGAGGCACTTGGTGTTCGTGTTTCGCTGTGGGACTCACTTGTTACTCTTGGTGGTTGCCGCCACCTAGACGGCTTGGAGCAGCAAGGATCGTTGAGCGGAGGATGGTGATTGTCTCCGGCTCCGATCATGGTGATTGTGAGGGGTTCTTGACCTTTCCCCGACGGAGCGCGAAAAGGTACTCTAGTGGATTGCTCGTGGCTTGTGTGATCCTCATCTTGTGTTGGTTGTGCGGCACCCTATTGAGGGTTTGGCGTGTGAAGCCAATTAGCGCGTGAACCTCCAAGTGAGTGAATCGCCACAACGAGGACTAGCTTGCCGGCAAGCAAGTGAACCTCGGTAAAAAATCATTGTGTTCATCCTTTGATTCCGAGGTGATTGGTCTTTATTGTTATTCACTCTTGTGATTGATTGGTTCCTTCATCTACACGGCGGTATAACTTTCTTGATTAGTTTTTTTACATTACCGCAAACTAGTTGTCAAGCTCTTTAGTGTAGTTAGTTGTGAGGGCTTGCTTGCTTAGTTGGTGTGGCTCTTTAGTTAGCTTTTGAGAGCACACTAACATAGGGTAGTGTTATAGCTATTGTGTGAATAGATACTATCTAAACTAGAATTATGGTAGGTGGCTTCCATTTTGAGTAGGCTAGCGCAATATTTGCTTCTCCTCTTAATTGTCTAACCATGTTGTTAAGTGTTATTGTAGAAATTTTTATTAGGCTATTCACCCCCCACTACCCATTAGGACCTTTCAACCACTAGAAGTAGACAAATGGTCATCGCCGGTGTTGTGAAGGTCTAACATTTTACTCAAACTGTTCTCAATCTGATGGCCTTTGTACCGAAATCGTCGTAACCCTTTACACCCTGCATTGCAAAACCAAGAAAAAAATGAAAATAAAAAAACAATTCATAATTAATGGATGTAATGAAATGTATGCAAAACAAATGAAAAAAAATATTTGCAACTTTGTTTGTCATCCTCCTCTATCAATCTTTTGTCGTGACAACACTCTCTCCACTTCCATCCCATCCTATACCTGTCTCTCTACTAACCAATTGCTTTCGAATACCCTAATCAATTTTCAAGTTCTCTTTTTTTTGTTTTTGAATTGTTTTCTTGCTTACAAAACACATGTGCTCTCTTAGAACTTTCGGGTCACATTTTTTAACCTAGCTTTGTTCAAATGAGTATTTGCATGATCAGTTTTGTAATTTCAACTTCAACAAAAATATCATAAAACTATCCTAGTGTTCACATCCGACCAATCGCCCATCTGAGGAAAGGTCTTTCAGCAAGGTATTAAAATAAAAGGGCTATGTCTAGTCATAGTTTTCATGTACACAAATCGATTGAATCGACACCACTAGGAGATAATTAGTACTAATATTGATCTAACATTGGAACCATGGGAAAAATGACGGTAAAAAATAGCACGTGATCATTCCAAGAAATATGCATAAACAATCCTAGTCTTGAAAATCCATTTTTTACACACCACAAGACATTTGGTAGCCCAATGAAAGCAATAGTTTCAAATCACAGTTCATAGCAATAGAACCATATCTCACCTAGCAACAATGAGGTTGATGTCAATGATGGCAAGAACTATTCTAGTCGGCAGCCTTGATGTGCGCCTAGTGCGCCCACCCCTACGACAAGATGACGTGGTCTGAACCGGTGTCAACGCCATTTAATGGCGCCTCTCACTTTTGGCAACCGTAACCTCTCTCGGTGACGACATGAGCAACACTAATATCAGATGATAGCCAATTCAAGCCTAATGAGGTAGAGTGATGAGGACATCACTACTTCAGATGCACCCGTTGATCCTCCCGCTTCTATTTAAGGTCCAATAACTAGAGCTAGAATGTGAATATTAAATCTAGAAGTGAGCTCATTCTTAATCGATCATTTTCATAGTTTTGAGAATAGATTGCTACCTAACGATGTTATCTTGCTTAGGAACATTGAAGAGGATCATAAAGTACTTGGAGAGAGAGGTGTGGAGACCGAGGAGACCAACAAGGACGTCCAAATCAAGTGGGAGGCCCAGTCCAACTCGAGTTCGTGTCTACCTTGGCCTCTAGGAGGAGCATGTTGTAAAATTGATGTCCAGGATCCATACAAACTCCATTTTCGACGATCCACCTATGCATGGAAAGATAATTTCATAAACTAACCAATGACATTGGTTTGACATGAAAATTTTATTAGAGTCAACGGAAATCATTGAAACAAGTTAGTGTCAGGAATCTGTCAAGGTGCTGTTACACTGTCTTTTGGTCTATTGGGTCGTGTATCATCTTTGATCCCATCAGGGCACATCCTAGGGGTTATGCACGCCCCTTAGACCTTATAATAAGTAGACAAGGCCCACATTAGGGTTTGTATTTTGCTTTTCATCAATTTGTCTTCCAATATAGTCACAGTCATCAATTGTGAAATCCCAACTTTGAGTGCTTGATAATACATCTGCAATTATCACTTCAATTGAATTGTGTTCTTTTGAGTTCTTACTTGTGTTCTTCATTTTGTTGGCAGGGATTAACCTTTTTGGCGAGGTCAACCAGATTGTGACATGTTTGATAACCAAAGGAGACGTAGTGTTAAGGCTGCAAGGTTCGGGTCTTTTAATCTGAAGCCAAATCCGCGCGTCGTATTTTCACCAAAATAATAGTTATCTCCACCTAACGGAAGATCAAGAACCCCGACCTCATCATAGAGGCCTCACCCTGAAATGAGTCAGGTAATCCATCTACACCGTAGTATGGACATGCGTCTAGAACGCAGGCCATGGAGCCCACGGGGGCCATGAGAGCCTATAGCTAACGCCCGATGCGCCGTCGAGGCCACTCACGCTGTTGGTGGCTGGAGCAAATCTTTCAAGGACGCTGTTGGTGGCTCAAGCAGTTTCCTTATGAGGCTTGCTCACCTATACCACATGAAGCCCTAAATCCTGACTCCACCTCCCCATGGCTTTCTACACTGCCGTTTGATTGAAGGAGCCTATGTTTAGTTTCAATCCAAAATCCTCAAAAGTGTTACAGTAGCTATCACATCGAATGTTTGCGGCCCGTGCATGGAGCATTAAATGTAGACAAAAAAAAAAACTAATTGCACAGTTTGGTAGAAAATTACGAGACGAACGTTTTGAGTCTAATTAGTCCATGTTTAAACACTAATTGCCAAAATAAAAATAAAAATGCTACAATAGCAAAAATTCCAACTTTCTGGAACTAAACACGGCGGGAGCTGAAAAGCTCTCCCCTAGAGCCATAACAGATGGCCCCTCACAAGTAGTGCTAGTACTGTTGCAGTTTACAAGCGCACAGTGCAGGTGGTGCAGTGCTCTAACTTAAACCCCTCTGAACAATCTACAGAATCGTAATCTATTGGAAGGACATGGAATGGGATTAGAACGCTAATAACAGAAGGTACAAGGGATTTCTCGAGGCCAGTGCATGCATTAACTTAGCTCAGCTCAGCTGGAAGAGAGGTAGTGAGGGAGAGGGGAGCAAAGAAGGCCAGAGGAAAAGACAGACAGCCTGTTCGGCCGGGATTATTTCCTCGTAAACTATCGTAAATTTCTAATCGAAATAGTAATTCTCTTTCATATCAAATTAGCTTACGATACCGCAGCGAACGAGCCCAGCCGAACCAACAGGCTCAGAAAGCCCCGCTCCCCGTGTGTGCTAGCTAGCCGCTGTTTGCTTCCGGACTGAGGGCAGTGACGAGCGAGTGTACCCAACGCCAGACCGGTGTGATTTTGCGGGTATCCGGTCGGGTAGACGATTGCACAATAGCTTTTTGCCTCGTGCTTCCCCCCTCATCCTCCTCCTTCCCTCCTCTCTCTCTCTCTCTCTCTCTCTGCCTTCCTTTCTCCTCAGCTCCCTCTCCCCACCTGGCCTAGACTCTCTCTAAAAGCCTCCAGCTAGCTTCAACCCTAGCACGCACCGCGCAGAAGGTTTACATCTATCGTCTTCTTCCTCCTCTCCAATCGATCAGCTTAACCAGCTGAGGCAGCGGGCGAGCTCCGGTCTACTTCTACCCTCCATGGACGGCGGCAATTAATTCCACGGCGCCGTGGTGGTACTAGCACGACGTACCAGCAAGTCGTCCCCTCGAGATTCAAGGAGAGGAGAGGATAGCTTAGCTTAGCTTCTGCCTAGGTGTCCTTCCGTCCCCAGTCCGGCAGTCCCGAGCTGAGTCCCCACTGCTAGAGCAGGACAGGCACTAGCTAGCTGATCTGGGTGCAACTGCAAGTACCACCACCACCACGCACCACTGCACATAATCGGGTCGCCCATAGACGCCCGCCCGTGAGATCTCGCGTCCTGCTGCCTGTTCCGCTTCAATTCTGACACCCCAAGCAGGGTAGCACTCCTGCATGCGGGCGCGCCAGCTGATCTGATCCACCACCACCCATCGTCATCCGCAGAAGCAAGCCGCTAGCTTAGCTGGTATAGGTGAGCAAGCAACAAGCAGCTGGAGATATATCTTATCGATCGATCGGGAAGATGATGCTCAAGGATCTGGCAGCAATTCAGCAGCAGCACCACCACCACCAGCAGCTGGCCGCCGCCGCCGACGAGAACATGTCTAACCTGACCTCCGCCTCCGGCGACCAGGCCAGCGTCTCGTCCCACCCCGCCCCGCCTCCCGCCAAGAAGAAGCGCAGCCTCCCTGGAAATCCAGGTCAGCCGTATCCCGATCTATCTATCGATTCAGTAATTCATGCATCTACCATGGTTTCCGTCTCGATCGATGCATGTGATGGATCGAAGACTGTGCTCACCTGAATTTGCTGTGTATCTATCCATCGGATTCGGCCGCAGACCCGGACGCGGAGGTCATCGCGCTGTCGCCGGGGACGCTGATGGCGACGAACCGCTACGTGTGCGAGGTGTGCGGCAAGGGGTTCCAGCGCGACCAGAACCTGCAGCTGCACCGGCGCGGCCACAACCTGCCGTGGAAGCTCAAGCAGCGCAACCCCAAGGAGGTGGTGCGCAAGAAGGTGTACGTGTGCCCGGAGCCTGGCTGCGTGCACCACGACCCGGCGCGCGCCCTCGGCGACCTCACCGGCATCAAGAAGCACTTCAGCCGCAAGCACGGCGAGAAGAAGTGGAAGTGCGACCGCTGCGCCAAGCGCTACGCCGTGCACTCCGACTGGAAGGCGCACTCCAAGGTGTGCGGCACGCGCGAGTACCGATGCGACTGCGGCACCCTCTTCTCAAGGTTCCCAGTTCCCTTTCCTTCCCACGTCGCCCATGGCCATGGTCCTCCCTATGTATCTGCCTTTACGGTGCTTGCAGTTGCAATTAATGAAATGATCGATGTGCATGGTCGCGTCGCGTGCAGGAGGGACAGCTTCATCACGCACAGGGCCTTCTGCGACGCGCTCGCGGAGGAGAGCGCGAGGGCGGTGACCGCGGCGGCTGCAGTCGTCGCGGGCCAGCACCACCCGGGGATGCTCTTCTCGCAGGCCGGCGGCGGTGGGGGCGGCGGCAGCGCGGGGTTGCACCTGCCGCCGGGCGTGCTGGACCCGTCGCAGACGCTGGGCGGCGGGCACGGCATGTCCTTGCAAGAGCTGTGCCTCAAGAGGGAGCAGCAGCAGCAGCAGCAGCAGTTCGCCCCGTCGTCGTGGCTCACGGCGCACCATCAGCAGGACCTAGAGCTACCCGGCGCAGGCAACTCGGCCCTGTTCGGATCGGCGAGGCCGCTAGACCATCGGGAGTACATGGGGAGCTCCACGCCGGAGAGCACGGCGGGACTCAGCGGCTTCGTTGGGTTCTCGCCGTCCGCCGCTGGTGGAGGGGCGGCCTCTGCGCACATGTCGGCGACCGCGCTGCTGCAGAAGGCCGCGCAGATGGGTGCAACGCTGAGCCGGCCGTCGAACCAGGGACAGATGGCGAGCACTCACAGCAGCACCATCACCAATGCTGGCACTGGCACTGCCAACACGGCAGCAGCTGCTGCTGCAAGCAACGTGCCTGCCACTGGCGCTGGTGCCCTCGGCTTCGGGGCACCTCATCATTTCGGAGCGGAGGAGAGGACCGCCAGGGCTGATCATCGCGACGCCGGCAACGGCGGCAATGCCGCCGCCGGAGGCGGCAACGAAGGCTTCACCAGGGACTTCTTGGGGCTGAGGGCCTTCTCCCACGGCGACATACTCAGCATGGCCGGCTTCGATCCCGGCATGTCGTCGGCCTCGTCGGCGGCGTACGAGCAAGGGCACCACCACCAGAGCAGCAAGCAGTGGCATGTCTAGACATCAATACATCATCGTGACATCGTCAGTACAATACAATCCCATATATAGCTCGCTCGCCATGGATGAATCAAATATATCCTGAATGAGCTGCAGCACGTACGCATGCATGGACTTTGCTCCATCATATTGGGTAAGTTGGATCATCGATCGAATCCAGTTCACTTTTTTGCTTGGCACTTATTTTGATACGATGTTCATTTTGGGGGTATGGGCATTTCAATTCTCCTATATAAACTTCATTCAAGGTGCAATATATATATGGAGGACTTGCAAATGTTTTGGTATTATATATATCATAGTCAACAATTCATGTTCTTAGCCAGAATATATATCTATTTGTATAGTAGTCGTCAGTATGTAGCTACTTTAATCTGTAAGCTTTGTAGTTTGTACGAGAAGCTCTACCACACAAATTCACTGTTTACTGGATGACTCTCCCATTAGCCGTGATATGCCATGCGTACCTGGAAAAAAAAGATGTTCAAGTTCCCTCTACTTTTGAAGTGTCATTATTGGAAATGATGTGAAGTTATGCATGAAATTGAGCCCATTATAGGCAGTATAAATGTAATTAACGAAGAAAATGCGATATATTAACAGCTACAGTTCTTTTTAAGAAATTAGGAAGTAATTAGAACTCTGAAGTTTGTTTATTCATGGATTTTTATGGTATGTATACTATTGTAAGAAAAATAAACCGTTGCAGGAGTATCCTTTTTTTTTTGAAACCGTTGCAGGAGTATCCTAACTGCTCACAAACATATATCAATGTGAACTGACCAATTAAACTCCGTTCTTTAGTTGGAATGATGTTTGTTAAATTTCTTAATCGGCTCCTGATGTTTTGCATAGCAATATTTCTGATCGCATTTTCTTGTATGAATGTACTCCATCTATTTTTTTTACTTTTGTTATGTTTAAATAAAATCATAAAAAATTGCACTAGTTATTCGGAAAAGAATTCAAAAGAAAGAACTATTAGTCACATTGGATATGGACCATCAGATATGTAGTTTGTGCATGTACTGTAAGTGGTCCCCAGTGTGAGTTGAGTGTAATATTGTTTTCTTTTTTTGTAGAGAGAGGGAAGGACAAGCTTTAATTACATAATTATAAGCTTATATTAAGACGCCTTGATGCAGTTGGGGCATTATTTTATTTTTATATACACAGTCATGCACACTGACAGTAGTGTATTCCTTCACGCCAGAAAACCAATTCTTTTTTATGAAAAGAGAAAAACCAATTCTCCACAGTATTAGTTTTGTGCTCCATTACTGCATTAGTGGTAGCTGAGACATTGAACACCTTGACAGCATATAAAGTTGCTGTCCCATTGTTAATTAGCAAGAATAAATATGCTACAGACACATCTCTGCTCCATTGACCTCCTCCATGAGAGTACGTCTATGTCCTCACGGCACAGAAAAAAGCTAGCACCCCGTTGAATAGTATAAAATATATTATCGTTGGTGAAATGGAATGGGCATTGTATTAGTTAACTGTAGTGTCTGTACTAGCTATATAGCTTACACGTTTTTCCCTTAAGCAAGCAAGCCAAGATCCACCCATCCAATAATCTTACTTAATTAGCAACAAGTTTAATCCCAGGCCCATGCTTCTAAATTTTGTGCCCAAGAGAGGTAAAAGCTAGTACAATTTGTACATAAGCTATATGCTGCTGCATGCATACATCACACACAAAATGGTATAGTAGTAGTGTATTGGGCACTCTTCAAAATGTGTGTGTCTGTGATGCATTTGTCTGTTTCGAAGAGAGTCTTATTCACCTATCATCACACACAGAGAACACGTACAGAAGTAGAGTACTCCTAGTACTTGTGTGGTCTTGCAAGGCATCGTACTGGTGTGTTCCTGGCTCTTCTCCTTTCACCGCTGTGTGGTAGACTCGTACTAGTAATTTTTGCATGTAGAGCATGATTGCACACGTAGAAGGAGCAAGGTTCTTGCTTTGCTTTTGGCCACAAAGACAGCAAAGAATAGCGCCCACAGAGACAGCAAAGAATAGCGCCACGTTCGTTTGACTTATAAGTCTTATTTTTTAGTCAACGAACATTATTTTTTCTTACAATAAATCAGTTAACGATACTTTCGACCGTGGTCAGCCAAACGAACAGGGCACTTGCCTCGGTGATCGTTACTACATATGCTTGCATTTCCCCCTTGTCTTGTTTTGGGGAATCTCCATGATTTCATGGCAGCTTTTGCCCGGCCAGGAGAACTCCATGTTTCTTCCGAGTTTCAAATTGCCACATCCCATGTTCATGTCATTCAAATCTTGCTGTTGCTAGGCACAAGCCTTGGTCTGTTTGTATACATGTTGTCCTCTGGCTTTTGTTGTATGTTCTCTGCCATAAAATACTAAACACGCACTCTAGCAAGAAGCAAGTAATGAAGTGATAGTGTACGATTTCTAAGGGGAGAGAGAGAGAGATAGTTAGTTAGTTTAGAGTCCTAGAGATATACTAGGAGGATAATTTTTACTCTGCACTACTCCTTGACCTGTCGTGGCAGGTATAGTACCCTGTACTGGAAGTAGATGTATGGGTGGGCGGTGGGGCGGCACCGCGGCAGAAGTGGCCGGCGGTGAAGGGCGGCACTGTTGACATGTGAGCCTCTGTGAATGAATGGTGGTGGCTGTAGCTGCTGGATGCTCGCTGCTGCTAGGAGGGAGAGAGGAGAGATGGGGAGCAAGAGCATGCAGCGTTGCACCCACTCAGCCTGTTCGCTTTTTGTTTCGGCCAGCGTTTATTAGTTATAGTACAGTAGTTTTCTTTCACAAATAAATCAGTCCTTGTTTAGTTGTAGGAATTTGGATTTTAGAGTTACTGTAGCACGTTCGTTTTTATTTGATAAATAGTGTTTAAACATGGACTAATTAGGCTCAAAACGTTCTTCTCGCAATTTCCCACAAAACTGTGCAATTAGTTTTTCTTTTCGTCTACATTTAATGCTCCATGCACGGGCCACAAACATTTAATGTGATAGATACTGTAGTAATTTTTTGGAAGTTGAGGTGGAACTAAACAAGGGGTATATGAGCCCAGAAACCAAACGGGGCTTGTAAGTTTGGAATGGCGCAGCCACAGCATAGGGCCGCCGGGGATCGATTGATAGATAGAGAGAGATGCTCCTACTCCAAGAGAGGTCAGGTCAGCAGAGGTGGTGATGGTGCAATGGTGCATAGGCCTGCCCGCTTTCCACATCAAATATTCCGCGCATCAAAGTTTGGGCGTACTTCCAAGTGCTACGCGACAAGCGCGTGTCTTCACGTGTCCGTTTCCTAGTCAGAGGGGAGAGAGAGAGAGAGACCGCCACGGTGTTTGTTGGCTGGCTATGCACTACTACTACTTGCAGCTTGCTGCACTCTACTAGGAGTATATCTCTTTGCAAAGAAAGTTTACCGCAAAGATTTTGAAAGGAAATGGAGAGAGAGAGAGTGGCATGTGTAGATGCAGCAGAGGAGAGTGCAGCGCGATTGCGGCCTCGTTTAGATTACAAGTTTTTTCACTCTCTTTTCATCATATTAAATCTTTGAATATATATATGGAGTATTAAATGTAGATAAAAAAAATAATTAATTACACAGTTTAATTATAAATTACGAGACGAATCTTTTGAACTTAGTTAGACCATGATTAGATAATAATTGTCAAATACAAACAAAAATGCTACCGTGCCAAATATCAATTCCTCTAACTCAATCTAAACAAGTCCTGCAGATCGATGCCGGTATGGGGATGCTGGCAGGGCTTGATTGTGATAGGTGAGATCCCTGAGCTAGAGGCTCACTGGTCTGCTCTTGTCCGGGGGCAGGGGCTGCACGCATCGGCATCGATGAGGACGAGCGAGTGTGCACGGCTGCACCTCCGTGTTCCGTCCTCGGCGGAAAACATGCACGACACGCGCGCGCGCGCGTACCGGTACTTGCTGCGTGCGTGCATGCACCTCCAGCTACCATATATACGTACATGTGCTACCCTTTTTGACTTACAATATACACGCAGTCCTTGTCTTCCGCTGTCCGATCGATATATATATATGAGAGAGAGAGAGAGAGAGAGGCGAGCACGCACTTGCGTTGCCGTTGCACTTCCTGGTCCCGGCGGGCCGGCCCATCCCGGCACACAAAACTACTGCATGCCTTCAGTCTTCATCTGGGTCCATCAGTTCATGCATGCATGATGCATGTATGCTGTGTTATTGCCTGATCATCAGTCGATCCATGCAGTGCATTGGCGTTGGCCCGGCACAGCGGATCGATCATGGAGAGTAGAGAGAGAGAGAGAGAGACGACACTGCTCACTGCATATGTCTGCATCTGCAAGGCAAGGCAAGAAAGGTTGGACGAAAGCCTAATCCTCAGCTCCTTTCCGCTCGCACGCTTTCTTCTTTGCGTGGACGCGGTACGGTGTGTAAACAAAAAGCTTGGCTCTGGTGGTATGGTGGCGTCCATCACGAGGCATGCAACTCTCCTTGTTCCGTGGGGCTCCTATCCACTACTCGTAGCTCCTACGCCGTTTTGCCTACTAGTTGCTCCATCCATCAAGACCCCCACCCCCCCCTCGCCCCCGGCCCACACTGTGGCATGGCATTGGCATGCACGCTAGCTACGGGCACTGTTCACCCCTCGCTAGCAGTCTCTACAGTCTACAGCTACAGCACGCACCATTGCTAGCTCATGGCTGCATCGACTTGCACATCATCTCCCTACTACACCTCCGGTGTTCACGCATCTGAGTATTTGCTTGCATTGTGTGCGATCGATCGAGAGAAACAACGAGCTGTGATGATATACCTAGCACTCTAGCAGATGATGTGGAGGATCAGTAGAGGTAGCTAGAGAGCATGCATGCATGGACGACGGTGACCATCATATCGTATGTGTCCAAGCATGCCGAGTTACATGCAGCAAACGAACAAATACTCCTACCTAGGAGTAGCTACGGAGTAGTCAGCTAGAGCTAGACCATCGA